GATTTCCCACTGTAGTGTTAACAGGGGAGAGAAAACAGTCTGGATTATGTCACATTTCTGTTCCTCTTGAATCAGAAACTCACTGAGAAGCATTTGACACTTGTTCTTTCTAAAGTACGATCAAACACATAGAGTTTTACATGCAGGCTGTTGTTGATTTAACAACCAGGAGAGGGCAGAGCGTGTCTTAGCTAGTAGAAGCTAACTGTTAGCATTAGCAACTCCACAACATGGCAGAACACATTCGGGCTTGTATTATTCATTTATATATAGCTTTGCCTATATTTGTATAGCACTTTCTTTGGTTTCTGACACCCCCCCCCCCCCCTCCCCCGAGGCACTTCACAACACAATCAGTCATCCACACATTCTTAAGCTGGTGATGATGAGCTACAGCTGCCCTGCTCATGGAGGCAAGACTGCCAAACACTGGTGCCATCGGTTCCTCTGACCACCACCAGTAGACAAGACGGGTTAAGTGTCTTGCTCAAGGACACAACAGTAACATTGTCTGGCAGAAGTCAGGATCGAACCTGCAACCTTTCGATTGCTGGACAACCACGACCTCCTGAGCTCCTGCTGCCCTAATTTAGAGAGATATTTAGAGAGATGAAACATCAACGCTGCATTTTTTACCCAAGAAAGAAAAGCAAACAAAGGCAGTGGAAGAGTTGCATTGCTGTTGGCCAATCAGAGGTGAGATGTTTGCATATCATGAATATCAACAAGCAAGACACAAACGCCTGCTCAGACTAGCTTCTACTTCCAGAAGAACGGGAGCCAGAGCTTTTTTGGGTATCTATTCCTACTGGAAGCCACAGCAGACTTATTAAACATAACAAGTGCATGGCCACTTTAGGACAAGGTTTTAAACAACAAATCATGCTTTTGAGAAGCTGAATGCTACTGGATGGTTTATTTTATTATATATGGCATAAAAAAGTGGCTTAATGCAAAGGATTTGCTGATTTGCATTAGAACTGATGACTGAACCAAGAAGCATAAAACAAATGCACTTTTTACCCCTGTACCTCAATTTGTAGCCAGTTTTAAATCAATAGATGGATCTTTTATTCCTCCACCACTCAAGGAAAGCAGGAATTGGGTCCTTCATACCAGTTTAATGCATTTATTCTCTAAGCTGCTCATTCCCAGTCACTGCACTGTCAGCTCTGACATCTTTATTCATGAGCACACACGCTCACTGTAAATTCCTCTGAGGAGTATTACGAGTTGTGTCTCGAAGCTGCGATGCACACCAGGGAGGATTGTCATGAGACGAGAGGCAAAGATAATGTCAGACGATTCCGTGGCTCTCATCCTCCGCTCTGCAAAGATTTGAGGCACACAACAGAAAATAAAGTCGCTTAAAATTCTTCGAAATATCATAAACCATCCCAAAAAGGCCTGGGAGTGTGATAAATTATTGTCTTTCAGATTTCTACGTAGTGGTTTGATCATGAGTTGGGGAAAAAGTGTTGAGGCTGATGGCTGCTGATGGTGGATTAAACATGCATCCATGGCCCAGAATCTAGTCGAACTCACAATTAAAAATTAAAACCATGGCTCCTTATGATTAAATATTTCTTCTTTTCTCCTGTTTGCACTCTTTCAGAGCAATGCCAACGCATTTACACAAAAACTGTACATCCCAGCTTGGCACAAGCACAAACTCAAGTAAAATAACATTTAATTATAAATTACACTTTATGGTTTGCTCTACATGAGGAGTGACCTCAGATTGTATGGGGTGTAGCATTTTCAAGCTAATGATAAAAAGCTCTTGAGGAAGCCCGCTGGGAGGAAGTCGATCTGAGTGGCGCTGCTGAATGAATTCCTTTTCATCTGCTATCCTATTTCAGGGAGTACACGTTATTTGCAGGAGGAAAACAGCAGGATTTGAAGAGTTACTAATTAATATTAATGATATGCAAACATCCCACCTCTAACTGGCTAACAGCAAGGTAAGTCTTTCGCTGCCTCCATTCACTCTTGGGTATAAAATGCAGCATTGATGTTTTATCTCCATAAATAACACAAGCCTGAATGTGCTCCGCCATGTTGTGGAGTTGCTAACGCTAACGGTTAGCCAACAAGCTGGGGCGGTGCTCTGCTCTCTCCTGTATGTTAAATCAATACAGCCTTCCACGGTGGGGCGCCAGAAAGGGAGGGTCCATGAATGCCAATCTTACAGTATGACTTAGATCTGTGTGGGTTTTTGTAGCCCGAGCGTTTCCACATCTTGTTTCTTTCAGCGGCTAACGCAGGAAATAGTGGTAGAAAACTATTTTCACATTCAGCCTGCATGAGAAACGCAGAGTGAACAATCATGTTTCAAAAATAAAAAGTGTTGCATGGTTTGTCAGAGAATATTTAAAGCCAATCATAAAAATGTTACAGAGAGATTTAACAAATTGATTCACAGCATTTACAATAAGGGGGTGGGGGGCTTCTCTTTTAATGGCTAATAAATGGTTTAGAGACAAATTATTAATAAATCAGACATTAAGATCATTAATAAACATTTATTATACATTAATTAAGGATGCGAAAGAGAGAAAACCTTTGCCAACCAAGTTACTATCTTGTGAACACAATGAGCCTTTTTAACACAACTGTTTATCAAATAATATTGTTCTGCATTTTAAATACCCACAACTGGCAAAATGAGCCATTATGTGTATTACTATCAATTAGTTTTAATGTCAGCATACAAGTTTATTTTAGAAATGCTAAATAACAGTTTGTGCTCTATCCTCTTCTTGGTGCCTTTTAGTCATTTATAAATGTTTGTTAAGCATAGTTAATAGTTTCATGCTTGATTTTATGTGTAATGCAATGAATAGAAAGAGGGAGATTGGCTGAAGTTGATGCTGCAACCAGCCACTAGGTGGTGTTTCTGCTTCTTTTGACTCTGCTTTGAGCAAAGGTTTATGTGAAAAACAGACTCCACTTCTACCTCTTCATCATTTCACCTGTAAAATATGAAAGTATGATAATAATTGTGTAAATTAAGATCCTGTTTAGTAAAGACAATAATCATGGATGAGCTTCAGATCAGCGCCGTGTAGCCTAAAGAATGTCCTTTTTCAGAGCATTTCTGTGGGTTTCAGCTTACCAAACGCTTACTGAGAATTGTGAGATAATCACGTATAACGTCTGATTTTTTGCAAACCAAAAGGGCCTTGGACAATTGGCTCACCAAAAGGCTTTAAAGGGTGAGCTCATGAAGCAGTGGGTGATGTCACTGTGGCTACAATCATCTGTTCTGTGAAGTGTGTTGCCTTCATCTGCTTCTGTCTAAACTATAAAGGTAAATGGAATATTCACTCACAGGCCACTTTATTATGTACACCTTGCTAGTACTGGGTTGGACTCTCTTTTGCCTTCACAACCACCTTCCACCATATCCCAAAGGTGCTTGTTTGGATTGAGATCTGGTGACTGTGGAGGCCATTTAAGTGCAGTGAACTCATTGCCATGTTCAAGAAACCGGTTTGAGATGATTCAAGCTTCATGACGTGGTCAACACATTCTCACACCCGAAACGTCGAAAAATGACGCGTGTGACCAAGCCTCAAAATATGACAATTAGGGGTGCCCCAGCGTGTCGGGAGAGGACGTGCAGGGACACGGACCTGGTTAAGGTTAGAATGGGGGTGAGGGGAAGGTTAAGTAGTTCATTAGTCGGTCAAATGTCCGTCTCACCGCGGGCGTTGGATACCGACGCTCTGGGACAGTGCATCCTCAGTGCGATCTCTCCCGACGCCCTGGGTCACCCCTAATCGTCATATTTTGAGGCTTGGCCACACGCGTCATTTTTCGACGCTTCGGGTGTGAGAATGTGTTGAAGTGGAGCATTATCCTGCTGGAAGTAGCCATCAGAAGACAGGTACACTGTGATCATTAAGGGATGGACATGGTCAGCAATAATATTCAGATAGGCTGTGGCGTTACAGTGATGATCAATTAGTACTTAAGTGCCCAGAGTGCACCAAGAAAATTTTCCCCACACAATTACACCACCACCACTAGCCTGAACCGTTAATACAAGGCAGGATGGATCCATGCTTTCATGTTGTTGACGCCAAATCACCTTTCTTCCCCATTCTGAAGCTCGCTTTGAAATTCAGCTCATCGTCTTAACCATTTCAACATGCCTAAATGCATTGAGTCGCCACCATGTGATTGGCTGATTAATAATTAGCGCTAACGAGTAGATAGACAGGTGTACCCAATAAAGTGGCCAGTGAGTGTATAGTCAGTCAAAAGATTTAAATTGCATAAAATCATCTAACCAATGATGAAGCTAAGACGAAGAAACACAATTAATTCTACTTCTATTGTTAAAATCCTTTTGCAAAGACAACTTGAGTGGATTTAAACCTAATTCTATCAGTTATAACATGTATACTTTATTTATACAGGTAGTTGTGGAATTTGTGTACTTTTATTCAGTCATCATGACCAGGGCTGAAAATGATGTCACTTTTTGCAAAATCAGTAATTAATGACATGTTCTGCATGCTAATAACGTATGTGGACAATCTGATGGACTCTAACTGCCCCTGATGATCACACCTTTCTGTTAATGGCTGAACTCGTAAAAAGCACATGCAGCCTTGTGAGCATCGTGATGAGAGAGAACGGAGGACAGTGTGGATTTAAGCAAACTGTTTTAACAATATTGCACTAATAATCATATTTCTCAATCCAAATCCTGAACCTAGAGTAGCATTTTTTTCCGAATTACATATAAAACTGGAGTGTTTGTGACAAATGCACATTTCTTTCTCACTTACTTGATGTGTGAGAAGAATACACACACAATCACGTTATGTTAGAGCTGAATTCTCTCACTGCTTTCCCATCAGGAGGTATAACTAGCATAGTTATAACTATTTGTCCCACTATGAAGCAAACACAAGCTGCAGCAGAGAAGTGGCACCACACACTAAAGGCACCTCTTGGTTTCTGGCGTGCTGCGTTGCCATACTCACCATCCTTCCGGTAGTAAGTGATCTCCACCTTGCGCTCCTCAGGACCAAGCACAGCCTGTGCCAGCTGGTTGATCGCCTCTTTGTCGGTGAGTTCCCCATGGAGAAAGTCACAGGTGCAGGGCTTCTGCATGATGTCTGATCTTGAGAAGCCCGTCATCTCACAGAAGCTATCGTTGCAGTAGATGATAGCACAGTTCTCCACTCTGGCGTTGGCTATTACAAATTTCCTGTCTATATATATATATATATATATATATTTAGGAAAAGAAGAAGAAACGTGTGAGGCTGTTGGAGATCTAACCGCTGACCTGGTTTCACAAGAAATGTTGGAATAAGATAAGAAAGTAAATACATTAATGAATAAACATGATCACTGGGTGTCATCAGTTCCCGAACTATTAAATAATTGAATGTTTTGGTGACAACTTGTACATTTTCACATAATAAACTGACATAATTTTGCTTTGTGAAGTAATAATAATCCATTCAAGGATTGGGAGGAGTAAGGTACACATGTTTACTCCTTCATCTCGGTGTCTAAAAACATTAGTGGTGTTTCCTTGCAAAATGATACTTACTCTGACCCTCGAATTTCCGAATAATTAATCCCAGGAACGTGTTTTGTGGCGCAACGTGACCTCTCCTCACAGGCATGTTTGTTCACTGGTTATTCCGCGACGTCAAGTTTAAAAAAATCAATCCCGAAGTTGCAGATGTTGGTGCTTCCTTTGAACGCCCGTTCGAAGCGAAGACTCTCCACTTTGTAAAAAGAGAGAGCAGAAAAAAAACATTTTTTTTACTTCATCCAAGAGTTGTTTATCCCGCTTGTGTCCCCAAGCAGGTGAGATGAGAGCCCCCCTCACCGAAACGCGCGGAGTCGGGAGAGGACGTTCGGAGTTGGATTCGGAGCATCGCGCGCTGAGGATGTGTGCGCTCCTGACGTCCGCTTGTTGTGGTGTGTTTGGCTCCGACTGAGAACGCTGGGCTGGTATGCCAGGAGGAGTGACGCGGCTTCCACTGGGCTCTATCTCAGCTCTTGTGTCACGCACAGCAGCTTCATATCAATAAATAAATAAATAAACTAGTAAAAGCTATAGTGTGACAGTACCTATTGAATAAAGGAAGAGTCTTTTAATTTAGCGATTATTATAATGAATTGTTCCAGGGTGAACTTTATTTCAGGAAAACAGAGCAGAGTTTGGACATTAGTGCAGATTACATTATTGGCTGTACCCACATTAAACCCATGAATCAATGAGCTCATATGCTGCAGAAAATTACTGCAATATATGCTGTTAATTACTCAAGGGCATCTGATTTGAATATGACTCTAGAGACTGTTGGCCTCTGATGAAAGGATGTTTTTAAACTTTAAAAAGTGTGTGTGTGTGTGTGTGTGTGTGTGTGTGTGTGTGTGTGTGTGTGTGTGTGTGTGTGTGTGTGTGTGTGTGTACATAAGAGCAGTGTTGTGGGAAGAGCAGCGTTGTGGGAAAAATGTTTATTTGCTTTCTTGTGCAACTCACATATTTGCATATCTCATTAGACTTTCATTTCATAACATCAGCTTTCACAATTTGGAAGTTGACTCTGGAGACTAAGAAAGTAGATTATAAGGTGTCCATGCCTACAGTGTTTCACTCAGGGCAGGAAAGCAATATTTCTCAGGCTGCACAAACTCTACAGTATTAAATTCTGTTTATGTGTGTTATGTAACACCAGCAAGAAAACACTTTTTTTTAAATTTTCGTTAAAAGAAAAAACTGATTTAGCTGAAAAATATGCAGCGTTGCTTGACTTGTGAAATGTCCACTTTTCAGAAACTTAAAACATAAATGTTTATTGAAGCAACCTGCATGAGTTAAAACATTTACACTTGATAAAAACACACACACACACACGCACGCACGCACGCACACACACACACACACACCTTGTATTAGAAAATTCCTAAAAATATACAGAATAAAACTTGAAAACGTATTGAAATGTTAAAACAATCATCTCATTTTCAGGTTTGACTCTATTCTCAGATTGTCTTCATTTCTTCACCGTTGCAGCTACAGATCAAATCCAGTGTTTGACATGTTCCTGATTCTTCTTTGGTCCACAGTCATTTTCTTTGTTTTGGCAATTCATGATGAGATGATTGCGACAACATGCCAAAAATTGGCCCATCAGCTCTGTACTCAGTCTCTTGTCCAATTCTGATACACAGGGCAGCTGCAAAGTGTTTCTGCTGCGGAGAGGACTCAAACCAGTGCTGAAAGTCCAATGTGGAAAGTGTAAAAAGTAATGATGAGAGTAGTAGTAGTAGTAGTAGTAGTAGAAGTAGAAATCCAAAAATGTTCAAATGAAGACAACTGGACTTCTTTGGTTTCTTGAAGATGTTTCACTTCTCATCCAAGGAGCTTTGTCATTTCTGACTGGAATATAAGCTTGACCCTCCCATATTCCAGTCAGTCCAGTTGCCTTCATTTGAATCCGTTTGGATTGCTATAACCTGGATGACAGAGAACCTTCACCAGCAAACAGTAGTAGCAGTAGGGGTAGTAGTAGTAGTAATAGTAGTAGTGGTAGTTGTAGTAGTAGTAGTAGTGGTAGTAGTATTAGTGGTAGAAGTAGTAACAGTTGCAGTAGTAGTAGTTGTTGTTGTTGTGTAGTAGCAGTGGCGGTAGTAGTAGAAGTGGCAGTTGTTGTTTTTGTGTAGTAATAGTCGTAGCCCTCTTAGTTATTTTTGTGATGAATGAATTTTTGCAAAGCAAAATTAAACAAGAACTAAATGAAAACTTACGTAAATGTGTACTTCTGTAAAGACTAAATTATGATGAATATTGAATGCTGCTTTTTTTCATCTTTGTACATTTTGAAATGGTACAGTTTACAATTAGTGAACAGAGATCTGATAAAGCACAGCTCTGAAGATGAGTTTTTGTATTCCCTTCAAAGGTAAGTAAATATGTTTATGTCAGTTTGATGAGATGGACACAAACCCTAACCCTAACCCTCTAAAGTCAGAATAGCAAAGGTTGTGTGTAAATGCAATGGGCTTCAAATTGTGAAGATTGCAGACATTTTTTTTGTGGTTTCTAGTGAAAGGTATTATGTAATTAACATGTGCTGAAACCTATTTTTTTCTATTTTTTCTTCAAATTTAATCAGGATAACATTAACATGATGTGATTTTGGCTGTGAGGCTGGCTGTTTCACTGTCCATGGTGCTGAAGTTTCAGCTCCACTTTGTGTGTTCCTCAAGTGTTTGTGAGAAAGGATTTACTTCAGTTAGCGTTATTGCATTCTTAAAGTATGTTCTCTTACTCTTCATCACACACACACACACACACACACACACACACACACACACACACACACACACACACACACACCCTCTTACATTTTCCCTCGGATTTTCATGAATGGATGGATGAAAAGCAATCGTCTCATTTGCATGCACTCATTCAAGCGCAAGTGATCTCTGCCGACTGTGGCCACGTGGTGAACAAATGAAAATGTATGCATAATATAAAGCCTCACTTACAGTCTCAAAACATCTGGCCCAGAATTTTCTTAAGCCCATCAAACATCTGGCCAATTGAGAGCCAGAGCTTGCACAGTTAGTGCATCCAGAGATCATGCAGATTTCATCAGTGTTTCATGATTTCTTTCCCACGCTGCCATTCTCAAATAAATAAACAAAAAAAAAATAATTTAAACATTGCATACCTTTCACAGTCGTTAATTAAAATGCTGTTGCATATCAGCATTAGAGTTCTTTTTTGGTTGTTCTGAAATATTTATCTGCAGAGAGAGGCATGATGGGTAAGACAGGGTCAACATGTACCTCTCTTGGTCAACAAACAAATCCGAGCGCCAATCCCCAATAAACAGGCTCCCTCCTCAGGGTCTGGAAGCGGTTTAGGAAAGGATTAAACTCACTCTGGGCCAGCCCTCTCTTATAACAATCTGGGTTGGGGGGGGGGGGGGGGACCACATCAAATCAAAATCCCTTCAAACAAGCAGCAACGCTGTAAACAAAATGGTGCACCAAAAGTCTTGAAATGTGGCAACAGTTGTGTCCAGTGAGCCCTTTTTAAATGATTGTTAATTCTAATCCTCACTAGTTGCATTGATGACAGTTGCTGTGGCAGATATGAATTCATTAAATGAAAAAGCAACACTTTGATTTGTTCTCAAAGTCTGCCTTCTTTTGGAAGCCTGGGGCAAACAGTTGTTCTGCACTGTGAAATCAGGAAAGACAGCATGGAAAGGAAGTCTGCTTCTTTGCAAACTGCAGGCAAAATGAGATCTCCTCAGGTCACGCCATTTTTCTAATCAAATCACAGTCAGACTGCAGCTGCAGCTAGTAAAAGCAAATAGTAGTAGAGAGGTTCAGTGCACAAATGGGAATAAATGTTCCTATCCTGTGTGTCTCAGAGTAGTTTACAACTATTTTAGTATTGCTGTATCAGAAGGTGGATAGCAAACATAATCTGAGAGCAACACTAAAGTAAAGAGTCTTTAACACTATTTCTTTCAAACTGGTATCACTGGTTCTTGAGCCAGAAACTTGAGCAACGTCATGTGTGTGTGTGAATGGGTGGATGACTGATTGTGTTGTGAAGCACCTTGTTTTTTTTTAGAACCCTAAGAAGACTCTATACAAACATAAGCGTTTACCATTCACGTTGGAAAGCACTATGAAGCCCTCTGTTGACCAAAACCTGCAATTAGCAGTTTTTTGATTCAGGTAGGGACACTAGTGGGAGGTCTCTACCTGCTTTACAGCAATAGCTGCTTACTGTGCCGGTAGCTAGGTTAGGAGCTAGCTTTTTCAGTTAGTCAACCATCAAGAAGAAGAAGTTTGCTTCTTTTGTTGTCATCATGGCAGCCTGGAAGTAAAAGTAGGTAAGTAATGTAGGTAAGAGCTAAAACCAGACAGAACGTGAGTGTGGCCTACACTTTGTTAGTGAAAAGGAGGCTATGAAATTACAAACTGATGGTGACCTAGCTTTGTTACTACTGTTATATTATTTTTGTCCAACATGGAGATCTTTTCACTTCATGACTTATTTAGCATCAGTTGGCTTGTGCTCGCTGTAGCTTGTTCTTAGTGCTAGCTACAGCAGGCTGTGGCAGGGTTGTTTACAACAGTTGTAATTTCGCTATCTACCAGTAGGAGGGAGAAACAAGTAAATATATTAGGTGTTGCTTGCATGTATGTATGTATTTTATTTTAATTTTTTTGCATTATTTGATAAAAAAAACGGAACAAAGTTGTTTTAACATGCATTTTATTTTGGGAGAGATAAAACGATTATAAAATAAAATGCATAACGTTTAGGAACTGTCAGGACGGCATGTTCTTTAACGACATCACATCTGATTTTTCATCTCAGAGTGGAGCGAGTCACCTCTGCTTGAGCCCTCAATTTTCTGAAAGTAAGTGAAAAAGATGACTGTCAATTTCTTGGCATTTGACTGGTCTGCTGAGTTGTAATAGTGGAGATTTCAAAAGGGAGGACAGTCCTCTAATGAAAAGAGAGCACCCTCAATTAACCTCTATTCGAAAGCCTTCATCGTCGACCAACGGACTGAACGTCCACCTGCTCAGGCAGAGATTACTGATTCACATCTGGACTTCCATGTTGAAACACAGAAAGACAAATTCTGCTCAGAAAACAACAATGATTTATATTACGTTCGTATAGTCTGACATTCTTGATGAAATCATGTAAAATACTCCAGCTTTATGGATTCATATGATTTTATCAAGTGTGGATGGATAGTGTGCAGTGTTGTTTTGAAATTCATCAAGCCATTCATTCATTCAGTCTGTCATTCATTCATTGCACATAATCTCTGGGAATCTAGAGCAATCTGCAGAACAGCAGCCGCCACCGCAGCATGAACCGTCCATCGCCTAATCCAGGTCTCACGACAGAAAGGCTCACTCTCTCTCCCTCTTCCTCTCTCACTCTCTCGCTCGCCCTCCCTCCTTCATCTTCCAATGCTATGGC